TTACTTTACTTGGATTTTCAATTTGGAATTTCTGGGGGAAAAAAGAGTAAAGGCAGAGAATCAAGAATAATGGAAGAGAACATACAGCATACAACATACAACAAATACAACGTTCGATGAGAAGTAGCATTCGTACCATTACTTTTCTCAACACTCATTGCCATCGGAGAGGTCACTGTTAACAGACTGGCAGCATGACAGTTCTGCCGGTGCTATCAGAAATCCTCCAACTAAGTAACCAGATTAGTGGACTTAAGGATCTCTTCTCACTTTCATAGTATGTTTTGTCTGTCTCACTTATCACCGGAACATCTTCCTCTTAGCACTGTTATCGACTTAAGCCCTTACTGTGTGTACTATTTTTTTTCCCACTGGATAGAAAACTGCTGGGGACAAAGGATCGATCTTTTCCAGCAGCAAATCAACCAGGGGTGATACCGCCCCTCAGAAAAGGCTGGAGAAATTTTTGGTTGTAAAATCTCAGAGTTCGGAGTTGCCACTGACATCTAGTGGGTAGACACCAAGAAGGCTGATCAATACCCTGTAACACACCAGATAGCTCCCTTCACAACCACCAGCAAATCTCTGAACTATCAGATCAGCAGGGCTCCGGGGGTTGAAAAACCTTCTCTTACAGTAATCCTCAAAATTCACCATTGGATATTCTAAGCATTTGAATTGTGCCAATTCTTATAACAAAGGATTTGGCTGTAAACAGCCACCAATGTCTCCTTTTAACACTTTGTCAGTGTGAACTGTTCAGGTTCCACAGATTCCTCTGCGCGTGGACATGCCAGGGCTCCCCACGAATGCAGAGGCCTTCTGCAAAATTCTGTTCCAACCTGAGTGTAGATGTCCTGGAAATATTTGCTGAACAGAATTGAAACTAATTTGATGTTCAGACCAATAAAATAGTCCTTGGACCCTTGCAAATATCTCCACTAGTGGTTCAACCTTGTTGAAAGGGGCTGAACTGAATGCAAAATTATGTTGTACAGTTCTAACACAAGTGCTTTTAAAAACTGTTAAATGATTGCAGATGACATGTCTATTTCAGTTTCAGTGAGAACATCTGAGAGAGATAATACAGTGGTTTGAAGCAATTTCCACCAACAATTTGAGAAAACTCGAAAAGACGCCAGGAAACCATACTGCAACAGAGGGAGGTACAATGCATGGTTTTCCTGTGGGACCAGGAGAGGGGAAGTGCTGGGGTCTCTTGCTGTGCTACAGGCGCTTTCAGTGACCCGCCCTTGATGATGTAAGTTCCACAGAAATAGTGCCTGACCACGTGCAAACTGTCCTTTTTAAATTTCCAGTGGAGACCTTAGGAAGGATATGTGTGGTGAGAGTAGGTACTCTGTGTTACACGTTCTGGCAAGTCGCTTCATTTGTTTGCACTTTTCTTCACTTGTGAAAAAAAAAGGAGGAGAGGTACAAGTAGGACTTCTCTCCATTATGTGCAAGTGTTTGGCCAGAAGCTCCCCTGAGATTCCGTGATAGCTCATTTATAATATGGTGCAATTGGATCATCATTATACTTACATACCATCTGTTCACTTCTCTAATTCTGTTTTACCCACTTGTTTCCATTTCAACTATTTTCATCTGAAATGATACACATTTGCTAAGAAAATTCCAAGCATATTTGATGTAGGAGGACTTCTGGACAAGTGTCTGTCAGAGTGCTAGGAGATAGAATTTCATTTTGCACACGTTTATCTGTTTGACTTAGAGCTAATTTTTTTTTGAGGCCCTATATTTGGGATGTTCATTATACTGCACATTTCACAGTTTTGCTGTTCTTTTCTCTTTAATGATACTATTTGGATTCAGGCTCACAGGCAGGAGAATTGGAATGGAGCCAGTTTGTGAAATTTGGTGTCTGAATTTCTAATCATTGTTGATTATGAATTCTGCACCACCACAAGCCCACGGGCCCCTGATACACATCTGCTTTCTTTGCTGAGCCCCCTTGCCACAGACTAATCTTTCTCAACCAACTTTCAAATAGGAAGTTAAGACTAGGAATTATGGCTATGTCGTCGTACCTTCTGGGGTAAATCCTTTCCTCCACATTACCCTCTCCAGGAAAATGATTCTGCTGCTGTCATTGACGGTTGAAATGAGAATTTATTTATACTGATTTCAGTAATAGTGAAATTGAAAAACTCCAGTGTTAAGCATTAAATTCATTGTGTTATCTGACAATTCATCAGGAGACCAACATGATAGCAATGTATACAATGCATCGTAGTCTACATGCTTGTTCTTAGGCTAAGCACTTTACATGTGTTCTCTGATTCATGCACATAACTTCAGGAGGTTATCATTAGCATTTACACATTTTAAAAAATGGAACAACTGAGATTTAATGATAGAAAGGAGATCAGAAAGTTTTCACAGCCACTAAATTTTGGAGCTGGGTAAACCAGATTTTTCTAACCCCAAGACCACGTCCCTAACATCTACGGAAAGTCTAATTGGCTCATGGGAAAAAGGTTCCCTATCAGTAGCACTGACACTAGCACTAAGGGCATCCACCCCACAAGATGAAACTAATTTTACCTCTCTCTTTCCCATTATAAGAAAGACAAGTATGTTCACTCTCCTGGGAGTGAGAGCAGGATGGTAAGAAGAGAAAATCCTTAAGTCAAGAATGAGTTAAATTAGATGATGAGTCACATACAAGAGAGAAAGCACCAGACGTCGAAATGCTGCGATTGTAGATTTTTCTTCAGACCCCAAAGACTTTTCTTCAGGTCCCAAAATGGACCCTAAAATTCAATACTTGTTTTCTGAAGCTGTGAGTTAAATTATATTTAAAAGTTATTGGACACATAAAGCATGTTTCTAGATACTAACAATTAACAATCCAAAAGGAAAGTAAGAAAACAATTCAATTTACAACAGTATCAAAGAGAGTAAAACACTCAGGAATACGTTTAACCAAGGGGAAAAACTACACTGAAAACTACAAAACCTTGCTGAAAGAAATCAAAGAAGACACCAATAAATGAAAAGACATCCCATGTTCATGAATCAGAAGACTTAATATTGTTAAGATATCAATTCTACATAAGTAATTTATAGATTTAAGGCAATACCTATCAACATCCCAGTGCTCTTTTTTTTTTTTTGCAGAAATAGAAGAATCCATCCTAAAACACATAGGAAATATCGAGGGAACCCAAATAGCCATAACAGTCTTGAAAAAGAGCACAGTTGAAGGTCTCACACTTCCTAATTTCAGAACTTATCATAAAGCTCCAGTTAATCAAATCAGTGTGTCACTGGCATAAAGACAGACATATACACAAAAGGAATAAAAAAGAGAGCCCAGAAATAAACCCTCACATATACAGTCAAGTCAAATATTTTTCGAAAAGGATGCCAAGACCATTCAATGGGGAAATGAAAGTTTTTAACAAATGGTGTGATGTTGTCAAACTGAATGTTCACATGCAAAAGAATAGAGTTGGGCTATTACCGTAAACTATATGCAATAATCAACTCAAAGAGGTCAATGTAAACCCTAGCTAAAACTAAAAACTCTTAGAAGAAAAGGTATAGTAAAAGCTTCACAATATTGAATTGGACAATGATTTCTTGGATGCGATACCAAAAACACAGGCAACAAAAACAAAAATAGGTAAACTGAACCACCTCAAAACTGAAAACTACTGTGTGTGCATGAAAGGACGCAACCAATATGCTGAAATGGTAATCTATGGAATGGGAGAAAATATTTGTAAGTTATATATGTGATAAGTGATTAATATCCAGAATTTATAAAGAACTTCTACAGGTCAACAACAACAAAACAAATAACATGATTTTGAAATAGGTATTAGGACTTAAAACAGAAATTTCTCCAAAAAAGATATACAAATGTTTAACAAGCATATGTCAAGATGTTCAGCATCACTAGTCATTACCAAAATGCAAATGAAAACCACAAAGAGATATTATTATCTCACTCTCATTAATATGACTACTATCAAAGAAATGAAACAACCAAAAAGACCCCAAGAAAATAATAAGTTTGGCAAGGATATGGAGAAATTGAGACCCTTGTGCATACTATTGATGGGAATGTAAAATGGTGTAGCTGCTATGGAAAACAACACAGCAGTTCCTCAAAAATTTAAAAATAGAATTACCATATGATATGGCAATTCCCCTTGTGAGCATATCTCCAAAATAAAGGAAAACAGGGTCTTGAAGAAAAAATTGTACACTCATATTTTTAGCAACATTATCCACAATGGCCCAAAGATAGAAGAAACCCAATTGTGCATCAGTGGATAATAGATAAACAAAATGTGTTATGCACATACAATGGAACATTACTCAGCCTTAACAAAAATAAAAATTGTGACCCACGTTACAACACAGATGAACCTTGAGGACATTGTGCTAAGTGAAAGAAACCAGTCACAAAGAGGAATTTGAATGATGGCCTCCAGGGCCTGAAGAGGGGGAAAGGGTGGACCTGTTTAATGGGTATGGGGGTTTAGTCTTACAAAGTGAGAGCATTTCTGGAGGCTGGTTGCACAATGACATGAATATACATTTTTAAAATTGCAGGAAAATATATATAACACAAAATGTACTATCTTGACCATTTATTAAATGAACAGTTTGTAGTGTGAAATATATTCACATTTTTGTGCAACCAAGCCCCAGGGAAAAAAGTCTTTGAAGTTAAAATATTCTCCCTCCCAAAAGAAAACAACACCCACAATGATGGGGATATGTCAGAGATACAAGAGTCAACTAGAAGAGCTCAAACTGAAACAATTTGAGTAACAAAATAAAGTATTACTGAACTCTAACCCACCAATACACATTTATATGACCATAGTGAGGACGGAATAACTACATAAATTATTTGAAATTTTTCTGCACAGATTAGTTTATTCTTAGTGAGTGAGTGAATTTTTGGCAAACTTCACAGTTGTGAAGTGTACTGGTCAGGTGTTTTGTTTTAGTTTTTTTTTTTTCCCATTATTCCCAGAAGTATTGCAATACTGGGTCAATGCATGGAATGAACAGAGCAAACTTCTATTCTGTCTCCCTGCTCCAAATCTCCATTTAATATATTTTCCTTGGATAGAGTCATATCAGTTATTAAACTGATAAGAACAGATACTATGCTTGATCTTAGCCAAAAGGCCAAGAAGCAATGGTCACACATATTATAGAAGGTCTCATAACAGGGACTTGTCTGTTTTTCTTTTCCACAATTAGATTGGGTTATCAGGAAAAAAATCACATATTTAAAGTGCCATTCTCATTACATCATATGAAGACTACATACTCCCAACATGATTTATAACGACTGATGTTGACCTCGGTCATCTGGCTTGAGGTGGTGGACATCAGGTTTCTCCACTGCACAGTTTTTCTTTACACATAAGGTCATTGCACTAGACACATAAATGGTATGCCTCAAGCTGTCAAGATCATCAAAAACAAAGAAAGTATGAGAAATTCTCATAGCCAAGAGGAACCTAAGGAGACATGATGACTAAATGTTACGTAGTTTTTTAGGTGAAATTTACAGAAAGAGGGCAGTAGATAAAAACTAAGGAAATATGAACAAACTATGTACTTAGTAATAATTTATCAATTTTGGTTAATTCATTGTGATATATATCTCATAGTAATATAAGATATTAATAACAGGAGAAACAGGGTGGGGGTGTATAACAACTCTTTGTCTACCTTCACAAGAATTCTGTAAATCCAAAACTGCTCTAAAATAGAGTTCATAACAAAAGGAAAGATATAGTTGGAATAAGTGTGAGGAAAAGGCAAACATCAATGAGGTTTTTGAATAATATTCAACCTTATATTAAGCCTTCTTTCCCAACATTTTGCCTATACGTCTTTAGATGGGAGGACCATTTTAGAATAGAAAAAGGGCACATAGAGGGGCGTTTACATTTTGAAAAGGAAGGAAAACAACTAAAACTAAAATAATGTATATTTAAAGATCGCGGTGGGAGAGTGATTATGAATATGTTTAAGTCATCTTTGGGCATGTGTCAAAGCACCCTTGACTTTATAAGGCAGGCCTACAAAAAGAAACCATCCCTGCTGTGTAGAGCCGTTTAATGAAAATCGGCACGTTCAGCAGCCTTTACACATGATTTCAGCTCAACAAGAAGATAAGGGAAACACCAATTCAAAAGAACCTGTGCATCCCAATGTTCATAGCAGCACAATTTACAATAGCTAGATGCTGGAAGCAACCAAGGTGCCCATCAGTAAATGAATGGATCAAAAAACTATGGTACATTTACACAATGGGATTCTATGCAGCAGAAAGAAGGAGCTCCTACCCTCTGCAACAGCGTGGGTGGAGCTGGAAAACATTATGCTAAGCGAAACAAGCCAGGCAGTGAAAGACAAATACCATATGATCTCACCTTTAACAGGAACCTAAACAACAAAACAAAGAAATAAGCAAAATATAACCAAAGACAATGAAATAGAGGACGGGCTGATGGTGACCAGAGGGGAGAGAAGAGGGAATTTAAGGGGACAGTGGGAAGGGTTCACAGGAACAAACTTAAAGGACATATGGGCATAGACTAAGGGGAGGGTGGTAATGGGAGGGAAGTGGGGAGGGGGGGAGGGAGGACTGGATTGGGAGTAAAAAGGAGAAAGCTGTATTCGAACAATGATTAAAAAAATAATAATAAAAAAAGAAAGACAAATTAAAAAAAAAGAAGATAAGGGAAAAGTCAAGTTTAAGCCTAGGGGCTCTGAACAATCCGTGCAGTCAGAACCCAGTTAGTAGGCTACAGCACTTCCTTTCCTCCGATGTGCAAACCTCTGCCACAACCCACAATACACCTGCCTACAGGCTGTAAGGTGACAGGGCTTTGTTTCAGAGGATCAGCTACCTCCACTATCCAGTTGGCAGACTTTGGCAACCCAAAGGGATATCAGACACACCAACAAACACCAAAACAATTTCAAGGTCAACTAACTATCTGCCAGCTTGCAGCACCATCGCTGGGCATTTCTCTTGCCCCCATCTCAAGACACAGCTGCGTTCCCATTTACCTGGCAGCTTGCCAAAGGAACAAGACAGTCAGTTAACACAGAGCTGTCAATAATTCATAGTAGCTGGACTTGATAAAGTAATCAAAAGGGGATATCATTTAATCAAGGTCTCCGAAACAGGGAGAAGCAATTGGGATTGCTAATCAGGTAATTGCAGGGGGAATTGCTCAGGAATAATTTGTATTGAGCTGATGGAAGAGCAAGTCCAGTTTACAAAGGAGAGGACGGATTTTTCATGTTCGTGTCATCCTTCCTACGACCGCTAATCTTTGTGCAGTGTGTAAATGAGACGGGAGGTCAGCCTCCCGTGGCACTTGGCTCCCTAAATGTCACATTTCCGGCTTGTGCAAGTCACAGATATTGACTAGATTGTCTCCAGAGAAAACAGGCTTCGCTGAACCTTTGAAGGAAACCACGGACACAATGGATCACATTCAAAGTCACTTACAAATTGACCTGATTATCTCCAAATATGTGATTATGAATAACATGAGCTTCTATTCCAACAGGGAATCACATCCTGTGGCTTTTTCTCGGAAATTCTGAGCAAGTGTCTTATATAGATTTCTCTTGAGTCACTTGATTCACAATACATCTTTCACAAGGGTTCCAGGGAAACATAAAATTTAGAAAGTATACAACAGTAAACATTTCTGAATTATGCTCTGTAAATTCACTCACATGATCTGTCAAGACTGCCAAAAATTTTTATGACCCCTTCATCATTACAAAGATAATTTAAGAGAGCTTTCAATGGTTCATAAAATATAGCAAGATAAAACTAACCTCAAAATCAGCCAGAACATGAAATAAAATAAAAATATAAAATACGATAGACGGATAGTAGTAATGATTAAGGAAACTTGCCATTTCGTGCGTTGCTCCATTTCACTGAAAACTGTCAAACACTTGCTCTGCAATGGAAAGAGTACATGCTTATTCTTCACTGAACTTTCTGTGAATATTTTACAATAGTTGCTTTCCCCTTACAGTTCCCAAATTTACAATATTCTGCCTCTCTTGTTGTACATTACATTATAAATATGGAGTCAGAGGCCATATTATGGAAGACAAATTCACCACTCAGTAGTATGTGCTTTGGGACAAGCCGATTCAAGCTGATTATTTGTTTCCTCCTTGACAAACTGGGTGAAGAACAAACACCGACAGTTTCATTGTTTTAGGGTGTGAAGTGCTTAGCCCACTATATAGAAGCGTGTAATCACTTAACGAATGATACCTATTAATATCTCTTCCTATCTTTTATTTGTCTTATTTCTTCCCAAGCTGGGCTTTAGAAAACTGCAATTATTTCTGTAAGTAAAAGATGGAAATAATTATGAACGCCTCCTTCCCCTGACAGATGTCAGTCCCACTTCCAGAACTGGATATGCTCTCGACAGAATTCCATTAGTCTGTACACATGTGGCAGGGACAGAATCATTTAATATGCAAATATTCTAAGGTTTGAACTGTCTCTGCCCTAACCCACCTCATCTGTCAAAGAGAACCGTATTTGCATGTCCCATGCCTTCCTCCTATCCCCAACCTTTCCTCTTTAAAGAAGACTTCTGTCTGGTTAGTTTATAAAATCATGTGATGCATACTTGGAAGTATAAAAAGAACTGAAACTTTAAATGAAATGAAGGAGTAAGAAAAAGCAGATAGATGCCGTGCATGAAAGATAACAATGAAAAAACATCACTGATAGAGCATAAAGACTATGACTAGTGAAACTCCGGAGAAGTCTCTAGGCTTCAGAGAATAGAACAGAGGAAAAGGATTTTAACAAGTTGTGTTTTGGATTACTCTTTTAATTCGCTTTAAATGTCTTTGAAACATAAGTAAAAGCTGGAATTAATGTTTAATAATATCAGTTGTTAGACGATGATTCCTTTAGTGCAACGCACTGCTGATCCCAGGCCACGTGGCATCCTGGATTGTATTTTGGTTACATGAAACTCCTCATTAATTTTTTCTTTTCTAATTAAGCTGGTTGTCATCAGAAAGAGCTGCTGATCTCAAAGAAAACTACAAGAACAACTTTTAATTGGTGCTCTGTACAGGAAGAGAAAGCAGGAGGTTTGTTGTCATAATGTAAACTGAATGTTAATAATATTGTTGTTCTGTGACACGTAGGCACGAAGTCTTCGAAACTGAATCAGGTTGCTATGCTGAATTTAGTGTGCAGTTCTCCTAGGATCTTAACTGCCATAGACTTAAAAGGTGGACTGGTTTCAAGTGCTTCTTTGAAAACTCATCCATTCATTAACAACTCCACAGAAAGATACCCAGTCATCAGCTCCACAAACGTGTATGAATAATTTTGTGATGACCATAGTAAAACGTCAGAAAATATATAAAATTAGAAGATAGCATCTTCTGAAAGAGTCTCCGAACATACCAAAACTAAAAAGCTATGTGTTTTGTATGGCCCTGGCTGGCATAGCTCAGTGGATTGAGCGCAGGCTGCAAACCAAAGTGTCGCAGATTCGATTCCCAGTCAGAGCACATGCCTAGGTTGCAGGCCATGACCCCTAGCAACCACACATTGATGTTTCTCTCTCTCTGTCTCCCTCCCTTCCCTCTCTAAAAATAAATAAATAAAATCTTTAAAAAAAGCTATGTGTTTTTGCTCTTCTTAAAACAGGTTATTGATCTAAAGCAAGGAAGTTCACCTCTAAAAGTCTCTATTTTTATAAGAACTTTCCAATAATACCTCAGAAAGTTCTGTAAGACATTAAAGTCTCTACATACAATAACACATATTACTCTTGTCTATGTACTTGTGTGCACTTAGGTTGTCAAGGGATTCTAAAGTTTATCTAAAAATAAATATGAAAATAGCCAAGAGCATTTAGAAAAAGAAGTATACTGAGAAGGACTTTCCCAGCTATTTATTGTGAACATAATCAGATATCAAAATCTATTATGAATCCATTCTGATTTGAAAGGTGTAAACATGGCAGAGAAGTAGACAAATAAAACAGAAAGAACAGATACAAACTCCACTGTATACAAGGGTAACATTGGGAACCAGTGGGAGAGAGTGGGTCAACACTGCTGAAATGACTGGATAATATTGCAAGCAATTCATTTTTCTCCTGCTT